GATCCTTCGATCCATCGCTCCCTCCAGCCTGCCTCCCCCTATACCAGCGATGATATGTCCCTCGAGGTCCTATACACTATGTATGTGGTGACTCGGAGACCTGAGACCACTGCAATGGAGGAAAAAAGGGGCTGGAAGGACCGGTCTATGAGCAAGCCGGCTCGGAGGATCAGGTGAGTATAACATTGTTTTCTTCCCTAGCCCAAAACAAGCAGTTAACCGTTGCACTACGGTGGGGGCAGCCTCACTGCAAGGGTTAATAAAGGTTTTGGCCGGAGTTCTTTAACCTCTTGCCGTCCGCCCGTAGTAAAAAAACGGACGGTATGTCACAGCCCTCCCCTCTTCTGGAAGTGTTTAATTATTGTCTGTGTTGGCCCAGCTCCCCCCCCACACATTGCCTCCTATATAACCTTTTATGTAGCTCCCGAGGGAGGAGCAATAAGGAATAGCAATGAACGGGCATCCCGGAGTACTTTGAGTCCAGGCTGTGCAAAGACATTCCCCCTGGGAGGGGTGTAAACAGGCCGGGCTCACAGGAAGTAGTCAGAATGACAGAGTGGCGTATGAAGATGAACTACCGGCACTGGGCCGAGGAGGGAATCATGGATAGTACTGGGGTGTGGGGAGTACAAGTTGTGATTTTTGGTCGGGGGGGGAGAAATAAATTTCCACTTCAAACCACAGCGGGGGAGGGATATTTTCCGATGCACCGCTGACTTCCTGTCCATGCTAAGTGTCCTCTTCCTGCCTCCGTTCTTGTCACCCCGCAGGGACCTGAAGAGAGACGTCGCTAAGAAGTTGGAGAAGCTGGAGAAGAGGACGCAGCGGGCCATCGCAGAGTTAATAAGTGAGTTGTGACGTCTTTGGGCTCCGTTCAGCCGGATAACGGTCATTTTTTTTTTTTTTAAGTGACAGTTTCAGCTGAGTTCACTGAGTTTGGAGAATGACGGTCACATGACCAAGATCAAGACCCCTCCCCTCATGTTAAAGCCGCACGGATATAAATGACACAAACCAATGCAGCTCTGTAATCAAATGTATCTTTATAAATGCAAGCCGAGAAAGTACCTAAATGTCACCTGGTATCAGCCACTTCCAGTCCCTGTACAGCAGAGCTCAGACCGGGGGAAGGAGAAGCAGCACAAGGAGCCAATCAGTTCATGTGCTAATAAGGAGCATGCTGATAGCAGGAGAGCGCAGAGAGATGAGCTTATCACTATGCCGCTTCTCCTTCCACTGACCAGTCCAGGCTTTTTATATATTTTTATTTGAGGGGTTGGGCTCCCCGTCTGTGAACGTACTGCATAAAGTCACCCTTTTTGTCCCAGTTACCAGTGTCGGAACAGGAATAGAGGGGGAATCTTCCAATGGGGACGCTTTTTCAGGTGATAACTGTCTAAGAGGCGATTTCCCTCACATTGGAGAGATTTTACTACACTTCCTGATGTACAGGACAGGAAGTGAAGGGAAATCTTCAGACTGGGACACAGATGTGTCCAAAAAAGTGAGAAGGGTTTTAAAGGGTAATTCCACTTTCCCAGACAAATATTTAAGAAATTTGGGAAAATGGCGTTACCCCCACCAGTCTGCCCCCTCAACCTAAACCCCCCTTACCCTATGCCTGCCAGCCCCTCCACCCACTTCAGGCTGCCTGCAGAAAACTACATGAGTGGGCGGAGACAAGACCAGCCACCCTGCACAAGGAAAGAGAGCAGCAGTGACCGGTCTTTATTACAGGAGGGGTCAGAGACAAGACCAGCCACCCTGCACAAGGAGAGAGAGGAGCAGTGACCGGTCTTTATTACAGGAGGGGGCGGAGACCAGACCAGTCCCCCTGCACAAGGAAAGAGAGCAGTGATCGGGCTTTATTACAGGAGGGGTCAGAGACAAGACCAGCCACCCTGCACAAGGAGAGAGAGGAGCAGTGACCGGTCTTTATTACAGGAGGGGGCGGAGACCAGACCAGTCCCCCTGCACAAGGAAAGAGAGCAGTGATCGGGCTTTATTACAGGAGGGGTCAGAGACAAGACCAGCCACCCTGCACAAGGAGAGAGAGGAGCAGTGACCGGTCTTTATTACAGGAGGGGGCGGAGACCAGACCAGTCACCCTGCACAAGGAAAGAGAGCAGTGATCGGTCTTTATTACAGGAGGGGTCAGAGACAAGACCAGCCACCCTGCACAAGGAGAGAGAGGAGCAGTGACCGGTCTTTATTACAGGAGGGGGCGGAGACAAGACCAGTCACCCTGCACAAGGAAAGAGAGCAGTGATCGGTCTTTATTACAGGAGGGGTCAGAGACAAGACCAGCCACCCTGCACAAGGAGAGAGAGAGAGCAGTGACCGGTCTATATTACAGGAGGGGGCAAGGACAAGACCAGTCACCCTGCATAAGGAGAGATAGCGGCAGTGAGCGGTCTTTATTGCAGGAGGGGCGGAGACGAGACCAGTCACCCTGCACAAGGAGAGAGAACTGCAGTGAGCGGTCTTTATCACAGGAAGCGCCTGCACAGAGGCGATTCACACAAAGTAGATTTCTATCCTTTGTGGCTATTGAGGAATATTTTTAAAGGAACGTTTTTTTTTTCTACTTTTTGAATAATATCCCCTTTACCCCCCACAGGGGAACGTTTAAAGGGACAAGAGGAGAACCTGGCGACGGCCGTGGAGTCTGCAAAGCAGGAGGATGAAGATTCCGACTAAAGGTTTTTCTGGCCCCTCCCACTGTGGAGATGCGGGTCATTATCTGAGCGCAGCTTGTCATTGGTTGGGAGGATTTCCTTCTCTCACCAGCGGGAATGGTTTTGTGAGAACTTTTGCAGCAGTTTTGTACAGATTGCGGACTTGTGTCAGGCGGAGCCCCCGGGGAGGTGAGCGCCGCCATTGTCCTCGCAGTGCGCAGAGAATCCTTTGTTGTTCTTTCTATTTTCATATTATTTTTTAATAAATGGAATATAATGTACAGAAGACGTTTGTGCCGTGTCAGGCCGGGTTCTGGGGGCGGGGGGCGCCTGCGGCCTGTCTCTAATATTATCTGGATCATGTTATTTGTAATCGCGGAACGGCGTCACACCGGAGAGGAACGGGAATGTTATCCATCAACATACACAATGTAACAATGAAGGATCAATCCACCCAATTTAGGGAGGAGTGCAGCCAACTGAAAATCACAGGCTCCTCCTACTGGAAGCCCATTGGTGGAATTCTGCACTGGGACCGCAAATATCGAGTTTGGTGGGACTACAACTCCCAGCGTTCACCGTCGTTCGCTGTGGTCACCACATGATCCTCTTCCCGCACAGTTTGGGGATATCGATGGCGTGGATGAGGCGGACGAGAGCTGCTGAACCTTCGGGCTCCTCTCTGTCATCGCTGCATTCGGAGGCTTTGCTCTTCGGGGGGGTCGTCCAGAACTGGAACCAGGAAACATATTATTATTATTATTATTCAGCATTTTTGTATGTTTCGTAGCCATTTAAGGGAAAACTTCAGTCATTCTAATCTGTATAGACACATAAGTGACACATAAAATGTTTTTATAATATAAGCTGAACTCCAGGCGCGACACAAGACCACCGTGTATGTAAATACAGCCCAGTCTATGTACAGGAAGGAAGCTTTCTGTAGGACAAGGGTGGGCAAACGCCGACTCTCCAGCTGTGGTGGAACTACAAATCCCATGATACATTTGTCTCTAGGAGTCATAAATGTTGCTGTGAGAATCTTGCAGTGCCTCATGGGATTTGTAGTGCCACAACAGCTGGAGTTTGCCCCACCCCTGCTGTAGGACTTCGAGAGGGAGCAGTGACATTGAGTGATTTCATCATCGGCATAGATGCCAACTCTCCTGGATTTGCTGTGTCCTGCGCCATGTCCTGGGATCACAGCATTGATCTTATCAGAGGTACTGCACATGCACAGTAACTTAGGAAGGCATTCATTGAGGGCAAATGAGATGCAAGTGGGTGGTCCTTGCATATTTAGAGGTGGTGCCTGAAAAGGACCAACCCATAAAGTGAGTGTTATGGGCTGTCCCATGATATTTAGAGGTGGGGTTTGGGTGAGACCAACCTGTAAAGTGGGTATGATGGGCTATCACAGCATATTTAGAGGTGGCGCCTGGGCGGGACCAACCCATAAAGTGGATGTGGTGGGCTGTCCCACTATATTTAGAGGTGAGCTTTGGGTGCCCCCCCTCATAAAGTGGGTGTGATGGGCTGTCCCCATTATAATTAGAGGTGGGGTTTGAACAACACACGCCCATAAAGTGGGTGTGATGGGCTGTCCTTTTATATTTAGAGGTGCGGTCTAGGCAGAATCAACCCATAAAGTGGGTGTGATGGGCTGTCTTATTCTATGTAGAGGTGCGGTTTGGTGGGACCAACCCATAAAGTGGGTGTGATGGGCTGCCCCAGCATATTTAGGGGTCTGGTTGGGACGAGGACACAGGTTAACGGTGTCCCAGGATTCAGGATTCTAATGATAGTAAATATGGATGAGCCGCTCCTTCACTGTCCAATCAGCAAGGCTGGTGGGCTGTCCATGACCAAGTAGTATTGCTTAGCAGTGGTAGAGGCAAATGAGGTCCATTGTTTTGCTAGGCTGTCTCTCAGGGAGGCTGTATCACAGCACCGACCTAACAGAATTACAAATCCTTCTGCCAGTAAACCCCTCTGTATGTATCACAGCCGTGTATAAGGACCGTACCCAAAAAAAAGCATCAGCACTGGCCATGGCAGGGCCCAGACTCCTTGTGTCAATCACTGGGTGAAGGTCTTAATAGGTGTCTCCACCCACTCTCTGCTCGCTCCATACAGACCTTCTCTGCCTTTGCTTTGTGGGTTCCCAGTTGGAGGATCCCCCTCTTGTCGGCACTCTGGCCCTTGTGCCCGGCGCGGCCCGTCTCTTGGTGCCGGTAATGTTTCGGGTGGAGCCTCGGAGAGGAGCTCAGTTGGTTGACCAGGTCTGACTTGAAGATTTTCCATCGGTTCTGCTCCAAGAAGATCCTGCAGAGGTCGTTGTCGCTGTCAATGGACAAAGAAGGACTTCCTGTTAGAATTTGGTCATTTCTGGGACTGCATACGTTCGAATTTAAGGTGTCCCAGGGCCGTCTTTAATATTGATTGGGCGAACATTTTCTTGGGCCCCCGCCCCTACCCACCAAGCCACGCCCTCTACCTGCCATGCAGTTTCTCTCTCCACCCCAACATCCCAAATCAATTTTTTTTTTTTATCAGCCCCCTGTCTGCCTAGCAACTGATGATGCAGATGGGCGGGCGGGCTGGTCTAGGCATGCATGATAGGCTCTGATCCCTGTGCTTTGATTAAAAAAAAGGTCCCGATCTGATCTCTGCTGCCTGTCTGCAAGTGGATCAGAGTCTGTTATTGAGCCCGTGATCCCCGTGCTCTCCCCCCTCATCCTCCTGGTTTCCCTTATCTCTCCAGAGATAAGACAGACAGCAGAGATCGGCAGATCGGGACCTTTGTCTGCTCTGCCTAGCAACTGATGATGTGATGGGCGGGCCGAGGTACGTAATTATGACAGCCGCACATCAGCGTCATCAGTTGCTAGGCAGAGCAGACAAAGGTCCCGATCTGCCGATCTCTGCTGTCTGTCTTATCTCTGGAGAGATAAGGGAAACCAGGAGGGTGAGGGGGGAGAAGGGAAGGAACACTGACATCCCACCTCTCCAGGTAGGGAGCGAGCAGTGCAGGCTCAAGGGGCGGCTGCTTTACGCCCAGGGCACCTGCCCCTTTTGCCCTGCGTTAAAGACGGGCCTGGGGTGTCCGAACCTGGAAAACATACCTTGGGGTTTAGTAAGTGTTGGAACAAGTCCGCTGCCCCCCATGGATCAGCTCATGTCTAGAATCAGCCCCCCTCCCTCTATAGCATAAACATGCCAAGTATGGAGCTCCTGAGATCTCAGCTGAGAGAGAATCCAGGTGATAGCCATACTCCGGTCCTGTCTCTACTGTCATGGTTCTGTCCAAGATGACTGACGGCCTCGGGATATCAGATTGCCTCTAAGTTTCAGGGACAGTCCTAGGCTGAGAAGCCGTGTCCCTGGAAATGTTCGGGGAATTCAGCACTGCACTGATGGCCCCAGATCCCCGCTGCTCCCTCCAGTGCTTCCTACTCCAGGAGAGCGAAGCTTTAAGAATGCTATGGGCACTGGAACCTGATTTAGATTTACCACACCTAGGCCATTGTTACACCCGGGACATGTAACCTAGATTATGGCACATAGACCAATATTATACCCAGGTATGACCACTAGGTCATTATACCCTGATTATGGCACATAGACCAATATTATACCCAGGTATGACCGCTAGGTCATTATACCCTGATTATGGCACATAGACCAATATTATACCCAGGTATGACCGCTAGGTCATTATACCCTGATTATGGCACATAGACCAATATTATACCCAGGTATGACCGCTAGGTCATTATACCCTGATTATGGCACATAGACCAATATTATACCCAGGTATGACCGCCAGGTCATTATACCCTGAACACAGCAACTAGGTCATTGTTATTCCCGGATTATGGCACCTAGACCATTATTATACCCGGAACATGGCATCTAGGCCACTGGTATACCCTGATTATGGCATCTAGACCATTATTTCACCCAGCTATAGCAGCTAGGTCATTGTTATACTAAGATTGTGGCACCTAGACCATTATTAGACCCTGAACACGGCAACTAGGTTATTGTTATTCCCGGATTATGGCACCGAGACCATTATTAGACCCAGGTATGGAAGCCAGGCCATTATAAGCAGAACACGGCAACTGGGCCACTGAACATGGCATTAGGTTATTGGTATACCCGGGACATGGACCCTAGGCTATTGTTATACCCAGATTTTGGCACCTTAGGCCATTTATTCCTGGAACACAGCACTTAGGTCATTGTTATACCCGGGATATGTCACCTCGGCCCATTGGTAGACCTGGGATACGCCACCTCAGCCTTTGTTATACCCAGCCAGAAGATGGCCCCCCCTGGCCGTTGATCTACCTGGGATACGGCACAATTCTCTCCCTCAGCTTTTTCAGGGTGGCGAGATCAGCCAGCTCTGAGAACTTGTCCAGCTTGATCCGGATAACCTCTGACCCCTGGCTGACTATTACCATGGAGCGCGGGTCCCTCTGCTCGGAGATGGGGAGGAAGCTCAGATCCTGGGAAGAAAGGACTGTTATGAGAAGAAGGAAAGCTCTGGGTGCCGGTCCCCCATCGCAGCCGCTTACAATACATTTTGTACCGGTCTGACCCCAGCGACGTGAACTCTGATGCGATGTCGGTTGTCACACTTTGCATGCAGTGTCCTAATCCTTGTACTGTAAGTAAGGTCGTTACCGTGACCCACCAATTCGTGTTATAGGTGGAGGAGGCGGACCAGCTGCAGGAAGTTGGCGTCGGCTTTTGACTGACACTCGCGAGCTGTAGCTCCCTATATACTGAGCTTAGGGTGACAGGAGGACGCTAGTTTGTGTCCTCCCGTTACCCTAAGGAGAATTATGGGGGAAAGCCTGAACCTCATAGTTCTCCTTTAATGAAACACTAAAGGGGTGATTTATAGACCACTCTAGCCAGCGCATCATGGCTTTGGGTTTACTATCACTCTGCATTCAGAGCTGTCATCACACGTGTGGGATTTATGTGTGAACATTACATTATTTATATTCAGCTAGTCTTGACCTGTGATGTAACCGCAGACAAGGACTGAAAAGAATAAACTGCCCTGTGTGTTGGTTTGAGACATCATACATTGAGTGACATCATAAATCTGACCCCAAATCTGGTGAGACGAGGAGTCAGAGGCAGCAGTGCCTTAGATGAACTCACGCTGCAGATATCCAGCTATGAGGCTGTGGCTTAGGCAGCTTCACATACAGGAAGTGCGCTGATGTTTTTTTAAAGGAATTTAGGTTTAGACAATTAACATTTCTGAATGTTCCCTACAGTGGTGTCCCTTTGACGTTTTGCCACCTGATGGGGGGGGATGTGTTGGTGGTGCACAACAGTGCAGACCTGGGCCGCTCTGGCTGGCATCCCGCCCAGTTCCTGGTGATGTCACTGGTTGCTAGGAGCTGGGCAGGACACCGGCCAGAGCATCCTAGGCTGCAAAGCGCCCTCACACATCGTCCTGCCCAGCTCTTACCAGCCTGGCATTCTCTGGCCAGATAGGGGTTGGCATTGTGCAGTGGGGCGGCCACTATACTACCAACACACTGCTCTGCCTGTCACCCCTTCCACATGACCCAATGAGATGCTGCCTCGGGCCGCCTCATTAAAGGGATGGCCGTAGATCCCTATAACAGCAAATTAAAAAAAAAATGGCCCCAGACAATAAAATAATGCCAGAGGTCCCATACATAATGGTCCCGGATCCTGGGACACTACAAATCTCACACGCAACCTGCATTTCAACGGACCACTTTACAGGTTTTGCTCGGCCTGACCACTTTTGGCCGTGATCCCGGCAATCAATGTTGATGCTGTGATCCCAGGACATGGCCCGGGACACAGCAATGGTGGGACTGTCCTGGCAAATCTGGTTCTATCAGCTGCGGCGTCTCAGTATACCGCGAGCTGCAGCTACTGAGCCTAGGGTGACGGCAGGACCCTAGTTTGTGTCCTCCCGTGACAATAAGGAGAACTATGGGGAAAAGCCCTGACCTCATAGTTCTCCTTTAAAGAGCTGATGTGTTTTAAAAGAATCCTTAACTATTAAAACAACGCGTTTCATTATCATGTGATAGAGGAAGTACCAGATCGGGTAATAAGTGTCCCTTCTTCTCAAAGCAGGCCTCAATATACTCCACGTCCACTCCTCTCTGCATAGAAGGAGAACAGAAAATAATTATCACATGGCTTATGACAGTGATGATGATTCATGGCAAATCTGCGCCATCTTTGTTGTGCAAATAATAATAAATGTTCCCAAGGAGCCCACACTGCT